CTTCTACTAATTTCCTGTTAAAGATAAAACATAACCAGGGGCCTAAAATCAACTCTATAACAAAATATTATACATATAATTATGTCCTAAAAGTCCTAATGTCTAAGAAATTGTATCTTTATTTTCTCTTTCCTTCAAAGTAGACTTATATACAAGTAGTAAAATATTAAAATCTATCTGATCTATTTATACAAGCAGTAAAACAATAAAATCTATCCGATCTACTTAAATTTGAAAGGGAAAAGGCATAAGGACCCCTTGAACTAAGGCCGAACTACCAGTTACACACTTTATCTTTGAGGGGGTGCTATTATCCCCCTGAACCTTTTTTAAACGGAATAAATATACCCTTGGATGCTGAGGTGGCATGGAAAGTGTGTTCACTCTCTTGGAGGCATGTGAGAGACCAAAAGAAGTTAAATTTTGATTTCATGTGTCATTTTTAATATAGCACTTTATAATCAAGTACACTTAATTAATTAAAGTTAACTTAAATGATATATTTAAATTTTTGTTCTTTCTATTTTAGTGAAATAAAAGTCAAATTTTCTTTTTCTTTCTTTCCTTTTTGTTTCATTAAAAAAGGGATCAAATTCCCTGCCAGCAAAAATTCACCGGCAGCCACCAGAGAAACCTTCAATAGCTGCCCTCCACCTTCAAGTCACCAGTGAGCACAAAGCCATCACTGCTCCTGCACCTGCCACCTATGTTGCTCGGACTCTCCGAAAATATCGTCGGGTGCGTGTCGTATTCTCCAAAAGCAGTGTATTTTTGGAGAATCCAACACGGGTGCAGCAGTATTTTGGAGAGTCCGCGCAACGTGGCCTGCCACCTCCCTTCCACCATTGTTTATTGATTAGCAGCCACCACAACTCCACCCGTCTGCCACCGGCCGGTCCCCATAAATCACAAGGACTCGAGCAGCACAGCCAGGAAACACCACTGTAAACCCCATCTCGTCTCCACTCTTCCATCACTATCCACATTAGCTAACCCATCACAAATATCCACTAAACACCTCACATTTGAACTGGGTATTGTTGATTTTGATCAGGCTCAAAAAGGTGTGATTGGTTTTGGAGAAAAGAAAAAAGGACGAAAGAAAGCGAAATGGAATATAAAGAAAAGAAAGAAAAACCAAAAATATAAGTTTGGTCATCGGCGCCTTTGTGACAAACGGCTAGAAGAAAACGAAGAAAAGAAAAAATAAAGGAAAAAATGGAAAAGAATAAGAAAAATAAAAAATGAAATGTCCATATGGCATGCGCGTGTATTTCACTACATCCATACACATCTGAGTATGGCTTTTTAGGGAGGTACTTATTAAGTTTTAAAAAGNTGCCTTTTCCCAATTTGAAATGGAAAAATCACAATCTAGAAGAAAATTTATTTTTTAAGTGATCGAGAAAAAAGAATGAACGTGCAGGCAAGTTATTTTTTTCCCAACCAATCCTTGTCACTTTTCTAGCGATTTCATTAGTGATTTCCTCCAAAATCTTCCTCTCATCGGCTAAAGAGGGCTGTGAGGATGTTAACTTTCAGATCAAGATTTTGATCCAAGGGGTTCTCATTCCTTGAATTCCTTTATAGAAGGCCAAGTCCGGAAGAGCAAACCAAACAACACTGAAAAATAGTGAGAAAAAAAGCTACAATATTATGTTCCGCTCGAACTTCTTTTCATATTTGGTGATGAGGGGTGGCGCTACAACTAAGGGTGGCAAGTGGGCCGGTCCTGGGCCTAAACGGGCCAAGTGGGCCGGTCCAAACGGTCCCGGTCACAGGCCAGTCCAAACGGTCCTGGGCCGGTCCCAAATTAAACAGACCAAACGGTCTTTTGTAGGGACCGCCTCGGGACCGGGATCGGGACCGTTTGGTCCCGGGCTAAACGGTTCCGGCCCGCGGGCTAAATGTGCTAAGTGGGCCCAACGGAGTTTTTAAAAAAAATAAAATTAAATAGATATTAGAGACAAAAGGATGTTAAAAAAAATATCTAAAGCAATGCTTTGTAAATTTTATTATAGAATTGTGACCTAAATTTTATTTAACATCCTAAATTTTAATATTCAATATTTAATATCAAATATAGCTTATATATATATACACTATACTATATATACATCTTATATCGAATATAACTTATATATACTATACTATACGTACATCTTATATACTATACACTTAGAATATATAACTTATATATTATACATTTAGTATATATACTATATATACATCTCATTTAGTATATATACTATACTATATATACATCTTAGTATATAAGATGTATATATAGCTTATATATATACTATACTATACTATATATACATCTTAGTATATAAGATGTATATATAGCTTATATATATACTATACTATACTATATATACATCTTATATCGATATATATATATATAAACTTTTTAGTAGTAACATGAAAGGACCAAAGTATGGTACTTATTAGCTGGTATAAATATGGAATGATAGAAGATCAAGTTTTATCTCAACTCAGATTACAGTTTCAACTAAAACTGAGTTGAGCTAAAACTTGATATTCTATCATTCCATATTTATACTAGCTAAAAGGTACCATACTTTGGTCATTTCATGTTACTACTAAAAAGTATATATATATCGAATATAGCTTATATATTATACACTTAGTAACAATAAAGTAAGCAATAGTAGCAATTATAGAAGGAAATTAGAGAGAGATTGTGATAGATTGATGATTTTGTAAGAAAAATGAAAGAATGAAGGGGTATTTATAGTTGAAAATAGGGAAAAAATATAATTATAAAAAGTTTGGGGTTAAAACAAAGCTGGGGAGGGGAGGGTTTAAATGGCTATTTTATAAATAGCCAACGGCTATTTTTGACAGCCCAACGGCTATATTTTTTTATTTATTTAAAATATAGCCGTTGGGACAGTTTGGCCCGCTAAGGGTCCCGGTCCCTGGCGGGCTAAATGGTCCCGGGTCTGGCGGGCCCAAAGCATAGGACCGGCCAACGAGACCAGCCCAGGCCCACTAAAACCGGGCCAAACGGTCCTGGCCCATTTGGCCCGCGGTCCCGGGCCGGCCCACTTGCCACCCTTAGCTACAACTTTGGTTTCCTTCCAGAACGCCAATCAAGGTCTATTCTTTTCTACTCTAGTTTAATTTTAATCTTGACTTCTATATTTATCTTTGGAGTTGCCGTTTGTTTGAGTCTGAAGTTTGACAACATTGCTTATGACATGTGCAAAATGGTTTCAAACTGTGTCTGAGCTCGAGCCCCTTGATGTGATTCTTCATGGCAGCAGGTAATAAAACTACTTTTCAATGAGTTTGAAATGTCACTGTACTCCAAAAATGTATATAATGTTAAGACATTATTCTTTAACCTCTAATATTTTATTTGACTGTTTAAGTGGTTTATATAAGAAGATATTATAATTGACTGCAACCAGTTTTTGTTTTGATTTTCAGCTTTTTCACAATTTTATCTTTTCTTATTGTTTTGTTTGAAATAAGAGATGAGGCTCAAGGTTTGGGTTGAATTGGAGAAAAATGTGGCTTTGCTACTGATGCTCTCTGGTTCAAAGTTCTCCTCTAGATACATGGGTTTGCTGATGGGGAGGAAACAGGGTGTGTCTGCTTGAGAAAGGGAAGAAGATAGAAGAAAAAAAGCAGAAGAAAATACACCACACAAAAACTCTCAAAGTCTCAAGCCTCGTCAGAATAAGAAGCCATTATAGAATGAGAAAGAAGACATGGAGAAAGGAGTACCAAGAAGAAAAGACAGCAAGTGTGCAGAATTAGCAGCAAAAGAAGGTGAATACATTGCAAGAGTTTCATCGGATGGCAGGACAAAGGAGGGAGAGGACAGCAATAGGGGATATACGTGTGGTCTTTGGCAATAAGAAGAAGTGCAACGCAGTAAAATATGCATGGATTAGCAGAGGCAACCCTCCTAAACATCCAGCATTCTCCACACAAAAAGCTCTCCTTGTCTCAACTCCGAGAAACCTTTCCCTCCCTTTCCTCGCTCTATGCCCAAAAGAAGAAGGGCATACCAATAATCCTAAGAAAGTAACACCTATCCTCTTTTCTGATTACCTTTTATAACTCAGTCAGGTTCACTTTTGGTTAACCTTTAAAGTACTTTGAGCAAATAAAATCGTATTGAAAGAATTGGTTGTTTGGTTTTCCATTGTTAATTGAAGGTTCTCCTCAAGATAGGGGTTCAGTGATGGGCGAAAAGTGGTGTGCCTGCCTTAGAAAGAGGACATAGGAAAAAGGTAGAAAATACACCACACAAAACTCTCAAGTTGCTAGCCTCGTCAGAGTTAGCAGCCGTAACAGAAATGAGAAAGAAGTGCCAAAGGGAAAAGACAGCACATGTACGGACTTAGCAGCAGAAAAAGGTGAATACATTACAAAAGTTTCATCAGATGGAAGGATAAAGGAGGGAGAGGGCAGCAATGGAGGGATATCTGTATGGTAATTGACAAAAAGAGATGGAGAATGGGAGAAGGCAACAACAACAACAACCCAGTGTAATAACACAAGTGGGATCTAGGGAGGGTAGTGTGTACGCAAATCTTACCCCTATCTGGTGAGGCAAAGAGGCTGTTTCCGATAGACCCTCCGCTCAAAGAAAGCATGTCATGGATTTACAAACAGATAAGCTTATGATTGTGCACACCACAAACATATATGCTTACTTCGAGGATGATAACAGACACTATCACTTTGTTATTGGGTGACAGACTAGGCCAATGGATGTTGGGCTCCTTTACAACGAAATGGAAAGTAGATTATTAGGCAACAAGAATCAAGTTTGATTATAACTTATTCGCCATAAAATATACAATATGGTAATGTATATCTAAAAGTGCATACAACTAATATGTCTAGGCATAATCTCATAAGACATAACAAGCAGAAAGCTCTATCAAGATGATATAACAATGGTAGTCAAGATTTCCCGAAGTATATAATTTTCTATGGCACAGTTCAATTAGAGCGAATTATTTCACCAATCACAGTCTCAACTGTATGAAACTTAAATAAACAAATAACGTACCCCAAGCAACAGTGCACTCCTCACTCGTAGCACTAGCTTGATTAGCCTGACACTCGATGCCTGTTGACCAAAAATGTTTCAAATAAATTCGCAAGAAAAAATATAAAGTTATCCATAATTCCTTTTTTATATCCTAAAGCAAAGCAAGGATTTGAAAGCGCTCACATAGATCCATAATATGATTCCTACAAATAGCACAGTTGTCTACTACAATATCTGCATCAACAATTTCACCAAGCCACGTCAGATTCGATCAAAATTACGAAAACGAAGTAGATATGAATCAGAACGAACCCCAAGCCCAAAGAGCGACAGCGTTCCACTTTTTGATTTCAAAACGTTTAGGTTTCTTAGTGGAAGAAGAAGCAGCAGATGCTGATGAAGGTGCTGCTGCTGCAGCGTTGAATTCTTCACCAGTCGGAACCATCTCGACGTCTGTATCCATTGCCGCTGCTGAATCAAGGAATCGTAGTCCAAATTCTAGGGTTCACGATCTCACAATTTTCTTCGCCAAGTGGAATTAGTATCAATCAAACTATTCTTTCTGGAACCGCTTCTTATACTATTTTTGTGTGGTGAAGTTGGCACAGGATTGCCAATTGAACCGGTCCAAAGTTATAAAACTCCTGCTTATGCTCTCGCTTCTAAATCTAAAGTTACGCTAAGCAATTGGGTTGAACTAACACTAATATACTCAACCAACAATTGGGCCATCAAAAAGCCCATGTGTCGATTTAAAGAGAAAAATCTATATTTTTAGCCGCTCTAAGAAAAAATAGTTAATAAAATATATAATTACACTTTTTGGCTAGCGACTGTAATTAATTTCGACCAGCCGACCAATTTTATATTTTGTCAATTTAGAGAAACAAATTCTAATTTTGGGCTCGAGCTTTGAGATGCCTTCATTTTTTTTGTTTTTAGAAAAAAATGATCAAATTCATCCTTGAATTATTCGAAATGGTTCAGATTTATCATTCATTAATAGCTTGGATTAGATTTACCTTTTTCACTAACAACATAAGCTTAGTCTCAAATACAGTATTTTGTATTGGATGATGCCGCATGTCCAACATGTACACGTGATGCTAAAAACTGTCATTTGAGACTAAATTTCTGTCGTTAGTCAATAAGGACAAATTTAGCTCTTTTTTGTAACGGTAAAGATAGATCTGCCGAAATTATTAACGGATAATAAATCAGTATCGTTTTGCATAATTGGAGGACAAATTTGGACGTTCTCCCTAGTTTTTAATCTTAAAATTGAAAGTAAAAAATCCTAGCTAATACGTGATGTTAAGTACTCCACGTCCTCGAGCCATATTAAATGGGCTAAACTTTATTAGTCTATGGAGCCTAACGGCCTAAAAGGAGGCCTATAAGAGGGCTTACTTTCTCCGTTCATTAATTGGTTGCGTCCGTAAATTAGAGTTGATATGCTATTGAAATTTGCACGCTTTAATTTGGAATGAATACGAAAGACTAATTAATACAACTTTTTGTCAAGTCTAGCTACCGCTAGCTATCGAAACTCAAAAAATTAGACAAAAGAGTATTGCAACTACATTGTATATGAAAAATACGACATGGCACGTGTTCGATTAAAGGAAGGACACGTGGAACATAAGATGAAGATGACCACCAAACATAGCTATACTTGTCACAGGAAGGAATAACGATCATAAAAAGAGTATTAAATATTTTGCGTCCGGTAACATTTAATACATGATATTTTACAGCATTAAGGATGATGGTCCGTTACAGGGAATTTAGTATTTATGTCTAATGTTACATCTTCATCAATGACCCTCATAATTGACATAAAAGAAGTGCATGATCCTAGGACTTCATTCCCCAGACTTAGCTATAAATAGAGAACTTAGTTATCATTGAACATGGGACGAATTTTCTAGCTATCTTACACTATATTCTATACAGCATTTTAATACAATTTTATTCTCTCGCTTTTGATCTTATCATTGTTGTGCCCGAAAATTCTGTTCCCGGACTCAACAGTTCTGTTGTTCCATCTACATTCTAAGGCTAAGTATTTTATATTTCATCAGTTATTTCATTATCTTTTGGATCAAATTAATTCACTTGTCTAAAAATCACGAACAAATTTAACTATACCGTTTTACGGGTAAACGGTTTGGCGCCCACCGTGGGGCCTAGACAGCCGTGCGATTAAATTGATCCTTGCCTTTTTTACTAACGTGTTTGATTATTTTATCTTAGTAAAAATCACAAAAGAAATGGCAAATAACACTGTTAACGGCACACGCAACCCTGAAATTCAAGGGGAACACCCTCATTTCGAGGATTCAATCAATGACACTCGCAATGAGGAGAATAACGCCACACCGATACATGACAGGCGGTACCCTCGACGGGTTCGGGAGGTAACTCTTGATGATGCCGATGAGGGTCATGTGCCAGATATAGTAAGGATCATGCAAGAGCAACATACAATCATTCTAGGCCATCTCACGCGGCAGGATCAGATTATGACGGAACTGAAGCAGGCACTATCGGGTGTCTCAAATAATGCAAACAGGCGAGATCCAGTTTCTCCTGATGTTCCCGCGAACTAGACGACATAGAGATTTAATAATAACACTCATAGGGGAGAAGTTGGCTCCGACAGGGCTAGGGGTAGATCCGGCATCAACAACGAGAACGATCTGTTAAGTTGACTTGGGTGGCTAAAGCGTTCACCAAAGGTTTAAATTCGAGAAGTTCAGAAGCTTCCCGGAAGTTGAAGAAAAGTCTGCTCGAGTGTCAAGCGATGACTTGGGCGGATGTCCACAATCGGTACGAGTCAAAAATAAGGATCAAAGATGATCAGGTTGGCTTTCCATTGACGACCAAAAGACGGGAGAAGAATAGCGAAAAAATGAAAGATGATATTGATACAGATAGACGAACTTCGAGAGGCCGATTTTTGCCCTACGAGCGGACATAAGGTCGTGGCAGGAGCTTCCGAACAGCAGACAAGTTCACCATTGATAGAAGGACCGATCGTGGCCTGAACAACAGATCGCTATAGGATAGAGAAATCTCGGGGGCACGAGATTCTTCTTATCCAAAGTTGTCGGAGTATAACTTCAACGTCGGCGTGGTGGAGTTGGTATCAGTCATGAGAAATATCAAAGAGGCATGATTCCTAAGACCTATGAAATATGATCCCAGCCAGAGGGATCCCAATTTATGGTGTGAATACCATGGCACTAACAACCACCGGACTGGGGACTGCCGACACTTCTGGGAAGAAGTGGCAACACTGTTAAAGAATGGTCACCTCAGAGAATTCTTGAGTGACCGAGCTAAAAACAATTATGGTCAGAACAGGCTACGCGGAAACCTCGAAAGCAGGAGAAGAACCCCCACACCAAATGACCAACATGATCTTCGGAGGAAATGAAATTAATGGGGTCACCTTTTTGGCAGTGAAGAAGACAAAAGTATCGATAAATCATAGTAAAAGGCTCCAGGAAGACGATATCACATTTATGAACGAAGATGCAGACGGATTACTGCTAACGCACAATGACGCACTTGTAATTTCTTTAAATGTGTTAGATTTTAAAATTAAACATGTTTTAGTGGATCTAGGAAGTTTAGTCAATATCATACAATGGAGAGTACTAGAGCAAGCTAAACTCACCGGAAGCATTATCCCGGCAACGAAACTCCTCGCTGGATTCAACCTTGCAAGCGTGACAACCCGGGGAGAAACATCATTTTGGGAAGACCATGGCTGCACGAGATGAACTCTCTTTGAAGTGGTAGATGGAAATATGGGGTATAACATCATCTTGGGAAAACCATGGCTGCACGAGATGAAAGTTGTGCCTTCAACATATCACCAATTATTAAAATTTTCGATAGGGTGATCAACCGGCAGCAAGGGAGATGAATGCAATTTCAGCCTCCAGTAGTAAAGGAAAGGAATGTGTGGCATAGCAATTACCGGAACCGACACCTGCCCCCGAACCAGATGAAATTAGCCCGGGGACAAAAGAGTCGGAACAATATCAGGTACCACGGTATTTTCAAGTAGCAGAAGATACGGACGCGATGAAGTCCACGACAGAAGAACTGGAGCAAGTTGCATTGTTCGAAGAATTATTAGAAAGGAAATTCCATTTGGGAACAGGATTGCACCCGGAACTCAGGTCTGCTTTTATCGAATTCCTTAAAATTAATGCTAATTGTTTTGCATGGTCTCACGAGGATATGATAGGAATCCCAAAGGAGGTATCCATACACAAGTTAAGCTTGGATCCCAATATACCTCCGGTAAGGCAAAAGAAGCGCCCAATTGATCAAGCAAGGAATAAATTCGTCAAAGAAGAGATAACCCGTTTACGTAATATTGGTTCAATCCAAGAGGTAAGATATCCAGACTGGTTAGCCAATGTAGTAGTAGTTCTTAAGAAAAATAATAAATTTTACATGTGCGTAGATTATAAGGATCTTAATAAGGCGTGCCCGAAAGACTCATTCTCATTGCCAAATATCGATCAAATGATTGATGCCACGACCGGGCACGAGTTAATGAGTTTTCTAGATGCTTATTCTGGGTACAATCAAATCAAGATGAACCTAGAAGACCAGTAAAAGACTTCGTTTATAACGAATTTTGGTACATATTGTTTTCAATGTGATGCCTTTCGGGTTAAAAACGCCGGAGCCACTTATCAACGGCTCGTAATAAGATGTTCAAAAAATAAATTGGAAAGACTATGGAAGTATATATAGACGATATGCTCGTTAAGTCTTTGAATGCAGGTGGCCACCTGAAGCATTTGCAAGAGACATTCAACATCTTGAGGGAGCATAATATGACGCTTAACCCCGAGAAGTATGCTTTCGGGGTCAGTTCGGATACGTTCTTAGGGTTCCTAGTCTCACAAAGGGGAATTGAGGTAAATCCCGACAAAATCAAGGCCATAGAGGACATCCCGGATCAATTGTCTAACGTAAAAGAAGTCCAGAGGCTCACAAGAAGATTGTCAGCTTTGAGCAGGTTCATTTCTCGTTCATCGAAAAAATATCATCGCTTATTCGCTCTACTAAAAAAGAAAAACAATTTCGAATGGACACCGGAGTTTCAACAAGCCTTGAAGGAGTTGAAGAAATATTTGTCAAGCCCTTAGTTGCTCTCAAAACCAAAAGAAGGTGAGTATTTCTAGTCTACCTCGCGGTTTCAGAAGTTGCGGTTAGTGCAGTTTAAGTCCGGGAGGGCGAAGGTACGCAATCTCCCATTTATTACGTTAGTAAAATTTGAACGGGAGCAGAAACTCGCTACCCACATCTGGAAAAGCTGGCCTTAGCTATAGTAGTCGTCCTACTTCCAATGCCACCCGATAGTTGTGGTGAATACTTTCCCTCTAAGGAAGATCCTCTATAAACCCGAGCTCTCGGGTAAATTGGCCAAATGGGCCATCGAAATGAGCGAGTTCGATATAGAATATAAATCGAGGACTGCAATTAAGTCGTAAGTCTTGGCTGACTTCGTGGCCGATTTAAGTCCGGGACTATTGCCTCTACGGTCAAGGAGGCAATAATGATGTCAAAATTGACATCGGGAGTTTGGACCTTATTTACGGAGGGAGCTTCAAACATAAAAGGGTCCGGGTT